CCTTCCTCTATCCTACACTGTTTTTCCCAAGAGGGTTAGTTTATTGATAAATTGTTGCCTTGATGACTTTTATTTACTGTATTCAATTTGTATTTGCATTTTTGTATTAGCATTTCATCTAGTTTATTTTCCCTTAAATTTATTATTTGAAATGAAATTTATGCAAATTGACCATTAAACTACTCAGGCAGGGCAGATGTTCTCACACTTAACCTTTTCACATGGGCTATTAATATTAATTTTCCATATATTGAAGCCATTAGAAGACAACTATTCAATCAGCAAGGAACATGAAAACAAATCAACAGGATCTGTCATTTGATGCTCCACGTGAAGTAACAAATTTTTTGGTAAACTAAATTTTGTTAAGCCTTATTTAATGTAATGAATGCGTGGAATATATATGTCCCAGCCCCCAGAAAAAGATTCAGAAACTTTCAAAATGTGATTTCACCTTAATTCTGTTATTTATGTTCCGGCTCCAGTTCGCTTATTACTGCTGATGTGTTCAATCTTCCCAAAGCTGAGTCATCATTTTGCTTCTTTCTGCTTTTCCTCCATTGTCCCTCTAGGGAACTGCATTCAAGAGTCATTCATGTGAGCCTCCCTTGGGATTTTACAAGGTAATCGAGCCAGATATGCCATGCTCTGTATGATATTCTTGGTTTAACTTCATTGATTCAATCCATTTCTTTACTTAGGATCAAGACTTCATTGTTATAAGAAGTTTCTTTTGCCATATGTGAACAACAAATTTTCAGAACCAAGGAGAGGAAAATAACTAGCTACACAGCAAAATTGTAAAATTTACTGAAATTAATGTTATCAATTATACCATTGGACAGTTTTATGTTCCACCTACTTTGATTTCTTACCTACAGAAAAATTCAAAGTAGAACATTTCGGTGACTGAAAGCCAAAACATTTTCATAAATTGATAGCAGAGTGTTGAATTACATGACGGATGACAGAGCAAAGAAACAATGGCATAGCTGTGTTGCATAAAATGGTACAAATGGAAAGTGAAAGATGAAGTGAAAAACATTATATTACAGCCCAACAATTTAAAGTGAGCTGAGGATTGATCATTTCATGAGAAGAAATTATCTTAGTTTAATGAGAACAACAATGCCTGCAGAGCGGCTAATAGAGACTTATTAGAGACATATAAGAAGACCAGAGACTTGTAAGAAGACATATTAGAATTTCTCATGTTTGTGAAGCAGCAAAGAAAAAGTTTATAATTACAGACTTAGACATATAGAAAACTTAGATCAAACTCCTGTATTTTTTTACATGCCTAAATAACACTACAGTTGGTTAAAACAGGGCATTTTCTGTGTTGGTAAAATCTACAGAAGCTGAAAAGTACATTGAACAGTAAAGCTAGCAGTGCCAGCTGACATTAAAAAATTGCCACCTTTAGCTGTTTTAAAATGGAAGATAATGCCAAAAAAAAAAAAAAAAAGCTGTCATGGTATCTTAGGGCACTTGAGAAAGGTTGAGTGTCATCTGACTTGATGAAAGAGTGGCTCAAAATTATGTGGAATTGTCAACCTTGGAGAATTTCTGTGGTAATCTCATGGAACATGTTAAAAAAGATTGAACTGAACACTGTTCCTGCCATTATTCCACAATGACTTATATCACTTCTGCAATCACTGGATGTATCAATGAATAATCCATATAAAGACTATCTCCAAAATGTTTTACATGAGTGTATATCAGCAGGGTTGTATAATTTTACTAGAACCTGAAAAATTCTAGAAGCCATTTGTTGAATTAATTTGCATGGGATTTTGGATGCATAGGCTAAAACTGATAAAGCAATAATAGTGAAGAGCTTCAAGAAAACAAGGACGTTTAATGTTCTTGGTGGTTCTAAAAATCATTATATATAAGAAGATGGCCTTAAAAATAATGAAGATGATGGTGGCAATTTGTGTAAGCTGTAGCAGATGATGCAGACAGCAGTTCTAGAGAGTAGCAGTTGGCAATAGGAACAGATAAAGATTCACGTTACAGGGAAGTAGAAATGAAGCAATCATATTAGATATTGTAATGTCAATATTATTATGTATTCTTATTGAAATGTAACTTTCTCTTAAAGAAATAATATTATGGTAGTCACCAGCAGTTTATCCATGACTACTTCTTCATTTGTTATGGTCTTACTGTAGCCTAATCCTTCGAAAAGTAAACTGTTTGCTTAATTTTCAGACAGTGAAATTAGTAAAAAAGTTGGAATACACAAAGAAATACAGTAATTCTTTGTAAAACTAAATCACCCCATTCCAGCAGCTGGTGCAACTGTAGGTGATATATCAAGGCTTGAATTGCGCAAAATTGAAAGACGTATTTTTATTTACAATTAATAAAAATGTTTAGCTAGAAAAAGGTATATTTTAAATAGCCATAAAGCTAAAAAAATTACATATCATTTGTTATAATTTATGTCGCTAGATTCTTACAAGTAAAGGTTCTGTAATGTGTTTCTAAAATATCACCATATGTAAAGTAAGAGCTTTACAAGCATTAATCAAAATAAAAAAAGTCTAGAAATTTTAAAATATTCAGGGGTTTAGAAGGTTTAAGTCTGTCTTTTAGTCTGTCATTCTCCTGGAACATGTTCGCATGGGATATTTCTCCGATTCAGCTTTAGATATGTTTCTCCTTTCAAAATATTAAGACTGCTGGATTAAAGGTTCCCTTTCTTCAATCGATCCCTCAGTCTTGCAGTTAATTTCTGTTGAACAGAGCCTGTGCATAGATATTGTTGCGTTTTTTCTCTGACACCAGTTGCTACGTTATTTTCTTCCTTCACGTTCGTACGGGGTTCGTAGATTTGGAATGAATAACGACGACACTTGATGAAGTATCAAAACACACTTTACTTACCAATATTAATCAGGACAGCTCCAAAACATTTTTACAGTCATCGATGGACTACTATAAACACGCTGACACAATCAGTGACACATCCTCCAGGTTATCAGGCTATCACGGTGGAGACAACTTCATGGCAAAGCAGCAGAGTACAGCTCCCAAATCCGGTCAGTCGTACTCAGAACTCCACGTACTCTCCAGACTCTCCATGCTACAACTCGCGATGCACTCGACGACACACAGAGCATGGCTCCCTGACTCTGGTTCATTCGTTCCCAAAGCTCAACACGCTCTCTCAACGGTGCACTAACCGCGATACACTACAAGACTCTTGGTGCACTCAATGACCTACTCGGCACTCGCTGCCCGGCTGTCGACTTGATGGACTCCGCAGGGATTGACTCGCTAGACAAGACACCAACTCGATACTATCTCTCACTCTAGGCCTGCAGGGGTTTATATAGCTTTCGGCTTGTGTTCGAGAACATTCTGGGCTAAACCGGTAAGAATTTGTTCCAGAAGGTTCTCCTTCAGTCCATGGTATATCACCAATTTTGTCGCCAAATGGGCGATTTCTCGCCAAATACGGCAACCCTAAAACTGTTTTGGGGGAAGCCATCTTACTGCACCTGTTCATTTCGTAACAATATTAGCCTTAAACATTCTTTAGCTGTTTTTACTCTTATAAGCTGATTAACATCGTCACATGCTGGTAACATGTCAGTAAATTTTGTTATTGGCCAATCTAATTGCTTTTCATTACTGTTAAGAATTACCACAGTATCTCCCATTTTAACTGAATCAGCTTTTTTAGTTTTACGTGATTTAAGCAGTACAGGATATATTCGTTTAAACAGCATTATCAGTTTCTTGCTTATATAGACTAGAGATAATTTTATATTTTCACTAAAGCAACTGCTTCATTGGGATCTAGATAAGCTACTGTATTGCCTAGAACACTATTTAAAAACATTACTGTTTTGATAAAATCAGTTTGTAAGCTTCCTCAGACCAGTAAGTCATTGGGCAACTATTCATAATAGATTCTCATTCATATAGTAATGTGTTCAGTCCCTCATAGCTCAATGATGCTTTACTCAGATCGTCAAGAGATCCTTTAATATTCTCCAAAATAACATATCTTACGCATGGTACAGGCCACTGGATATCACGAGAAAAATGTTTCTTGGACTAGGAATCATGTCATATCTTATTAATAAATTTATAATTCTGTGATGTGTTACAGTTGCAAGAGTTGGAGAACACTGTAAAAACTCAAAAGGAAGCCAAGCCCCCCTTTAAAAAACAATTGATAATATAATTTTAAAAAAGTTGGAAAATTATGGGTTAGAATATGATCTGAAATCTTGAATTTGTAATTATCATCTAATTATTATGGACAGTATGAAATGTAGGCCTGTTACCTGGGAGATTATATGCTTCTAAAATTTTGCATTTTAGATGTTGTATTCATAACCTAATCTCTGTAATTTCTATTTTATACTTGCAAGGAATGTCTTCTGACTTTGAACTTCAAATTAATTTGAAAGAGAGAAAGTTAGTTTTATTTAAGCTTTAAATATTTGATTTCAAAAAGGTTTTAATGATTGTAGTTAGTACATAAGATTAAAGCTGCTTTTTCACTTGCTTTTACAAAATTAAAATTTGAAATATTATATTGTGGAATACAAAATGCTGTTCTTTAATAAATTTTAAATAAGAAAGGCTTCAGCTGTGAAAAGTTAAAGCATGTGAATACTAGCGATGATATAAATTTTACTGTGTATGTGCAGTTGGTTTAATTTTGGGATGCTAGTTATATTTTACTATGCTTGGGAATCGACTCTTGATGTGTGTGTTATTCATTAAAGATCAATAATTTTGTTCATTTCCCATCTAAATACCTTGCTTTGGAATATTTTTGCAGTCCTTTCATGGTCCTAGTCTTAACATAAATATAAGATTCTCGCATAATAATACTTTTGTGTGTGTGTGCATTTCTTTGCAAGTTAGCTCTAATGTTAACGTTCGAAATCTGAGATTAGCAATAATATGCTTTTGAATTAAATGTTCATTATATGTATAATTTTTTATAATTTATATTATTTTTATAGGTTTCAATGTGTAGCTGGCATTCAATCTCCAAAGGAGTTGATTTTATGAAAGAACCGGCATTATTTTTTACTTGTAGTTTTCAATTTATGTTACCTGTAAAGAAAGGAAAAAAAGAGTGAGTGTTTCTGTGTGCTGTAAAAACAGGCCAATGGAAAGATGTTTTTGCCCAAGAATTAGTTTTTCCCTCTCTTCTGCTTACAACTAATTTGAAAAAATATCTTTTAATTTTTTAATATATTGTTGCTTCTAAGATGTGTATTTGCAAAAGCTATTGAAATTAGTATCTCACTGCTTTTTTGGTTTGCTTTACTTGTGGTAATGGACAATACTTAATGTATTTCTTTGTAAATAATGTATCATATTGTGACTGATGTTAAATGCAACATCTGAATTTTACCCATTTTAAATTATTAGTTTAAAATAGCTGTGAATTATTAACTGTAAATATTTTCATCAAGTTTCTGGGATTGAAATGAATTTGCCCTGGTATGCTTTGAATAGCAATTTATATTTAGGCGTTTATAGCCTATAATACTCTCAATTAATTCGAAGATTATTTATGTGTCTAATCAAATTAAAAAAGAGATATGGTTTTAGCCTATATGCAATATATATATTTATATTTATACATTTGGCATGCTGAAAATTGCTATTAAATAAAATTTTATTTTATTAATCAGCAAGCATAATTTCATATCATTTTTAATTGTGCAGTTTATTTTCATAAAGTGTAATTCTGTCTAAACGAAATATATGAACTGATGACAATTTAACATAAGCAGAACAGGCCTCTGTGTTGACTTCTGTCGGTTTTTGCTATTATTAGGTAATTCAAAATTCATTCATTTTCATATTCTTTGATTTATTTACCTGATTGGTAAGCATTTAAGTATAAAAACAGTCTGAACCATAATATCCTTTCCTAGCTCTCCTGGTTAAATTTAAATAACTAGTACACTGATGAGGAAAAAATTCCAAGGAAGGTAGAAGAAACTTGTGGTAGATAAATGTAATTTGGTAGACATGTTTATGTAGCTGAAAGATGATGTCTTTTCAAATTTCACATTAGGCACTTAAGTGTGGCACTAGTAGTACCACTATGAACATGCAAACCAGGTTTACTTTAAATACGTTCTGTAAAGTTCGTAAGTGTTATTTATCATTGAGATTTGAAATAGTGAGTTGATGTTGGTCAAGAATGCCTTTAAGAAGTCGAAGAAGCTATTACCAACAGCGAGTTTGAGGTTGTGTCATAGGATTACGAGAAACTATATTTTCTTTCCGCGATACTGCAGTAAGACTTGCCAGAAATGTATCTACTGTGCATCATTGTTGACAGTAGTGATCAAGGGAAGGTACTGGCTCAAGAACACCAGGTTCCACATGAGCATGTGACACTACTGAGATGGAAGTTTGCCATATGGCCGCAATGCGTTATGTGTTTGCGGCAGAAATTTGAGTTACAGGTGGCACCACAATGACACGACGAACTGTTGAAAATCAGTTACTTGAAGTACAGCTTCTAGCCACTCTGTTGAGTGCATTCCACTGAATCCAAACTGCTGCCATTTGTGATGTTAGTGGTGTCAAGCTAGAGCTCATTTGAGGATGAAGTAATCTGTTGTTTTTTTCTGATGAAAGCCGGTCCTGCCTTGGGTGCCAGTGATGGTCATGTGCTGGTTAAAAGTAGCCCAAGTGAGTGCCTGCAGCCAACCTATCTGTGACCTAGATACACCTGGAGTTATGGTTTGGAGAGCAATTTCATATGACAGCAAGAGCACTATATCATATGACAGCGTGGTTATCCCATGCACCCTGACTGCAAATTTGTATGTCACTCTGGTGATCAACCTGTTCTACTGCCATTTATGAACAGCATTCAAGGGAGTGTTTTCCAACATGATAATGCTCACCTCAAACCGCTGTAGTAACCTAACATGCTGTACGGTGTCAACATGTAGTCTTGGCCTGCTAGATCACCAGTTCTTTCTCCACTCGAGCACGTGTTGGACATCATTGACTATAACTCCAACGTCATCCACAGCCAGCATTAGCTGTCTGTGTACTGAATGACCAAGTATAACAGGCATGTAACTCCATCCCACAAAATGACATCAGGCACCTCTATGACAAAAATGCATGCTTACGTTTAAAATTCTGGCAGTCACACCGATTATTAATGTACTACCATTGCACATTTGAAGTGGCTGTTCTCGCATTTGCATTAACTTATGATCTTGAAAATTTAATCAATTAAATATCTTACCTAGATAAATGTATTGCCAAAATTGCATTACTCAGCATTAATTTTTTCTTGGTGTTCGGATTTTTTTTCGCACCGGTGTATATTATTGGAACATGTAGACTGACTTTTAAAGAAATGCTTCTGTGTCTTAATAAGAAAAGAGAAGACCTTGCAAAGCATTTTCTTTATAAAAAGGATAGAGATGGACAGTGATTGAATGAATCAGTGTCACTGAAGTTTTAATATGCACTATAGGCAGAGGCTGCATCTTTGTTGATTTTATTACACCCAGAAGTATAACTGAGATGTATTACATTTTTTTAATGTTGTAGAAGAGTGTATAGTGAAACCTAAATTATCTGTGAGTGTCAGAACTGGTATTCTGGCAGTAACAGAAATTCCTTCCACCATTAGATATAGACAGACAACAATAAAGACCCATTTGTAGCATGATATGTTAAAACGTACACATAAAAATCAAGATTAGAGTTGAAAAGTGGCCACATTATAGCTCCTTAGGTTGCTTACTATTAAGCTATATTCACATTAGTTTATTGGCATGAAAGCAAAAATGCTTTTCATGTATGTCATTTCACACCAGGGTTGAAATTTTCTCTTTAAAAGTTGTCATATGCACACACTAGAAGAAGGTTCTTCATATTGAAAACTCATGGGGGGGTTATTTTTTTGTGTGGTGTTTTAGATTTTGGGGGATATATTTTTTAATTAATATGGATCCAATATCTGCTAGATTAATGCTTATTTTACTTCTTGCTTTATGTAGGAGAAGCAGAAAGTAGTGGATTATTTTAATATGTGAGAGATGACTGCAGCAAATAATTTAACTGAAGAAATGTACTTGAATGACATTGGAAACTTTTTTAATAATTTCCGCATGATGCTTTATCTATTCCATGAATTTTTAGCCCACACTGAACCATTTGTCCAGAAGCAGAATACTAAATTTCATCAGAATATCATAGAAAAGGTTTGTATGAAAGATAGGAATAGGATATCCTAGAAAATTACCATTGTATATTTCTAATTTGTTTGATGAATTTTGTTGAGTGATAATTAAAAATTCTTACTTGCATATTTTAATTTTAGAGAGTGAATTTTTTATGGGATGGAATAGTATAAAATATTTTGCATGATATCTGAATTTCCCTAAATAAAATTTTTTTAACTAATGTGATAAAAAATTATATGTCTTTCAAATGTGTGTAGGATTTATAGAATTACTAAACTAAATATAACACTTAAGGGAAGCAGTTACAAAAAAATAAGAATAGAAAGTTAAACGTGTTTTAAAATATAATATTTACTCCTTTACGTACATATTTTTTACCTTAAATGTTACTAATTACTTGAATCAGTAATTCATATATTAATGTCTATATTAATTATGTAGAGTCACTGTCTAAAGTTTTTTTATACACTTTTATCTACAACTTGTTGAAGAAACTATATTTTATATAATATTTCTTTTTTCTGTGGTAAAAATTGAATTCCACACTTAGTAAATTTTCTAATGCACCTTCAGGTCTGATTAATGAAAAATTTATCATCAAGATTAATCCTATGGCTTGGCTGTTATATAATTTGTGTGGAAAAGTTCATGCATGTTGAGGAAAACAAACATGAAGCTATTAAAATGCCTAGAAGTATTCCATAAAATCAACTTCGATCTAAGGTTGAATTTTGTCTTACTTTAAATGTCACATACTGGCAGGCTTTCTTTCTATATAAATAATTGTTTTCTTAATTTTTTAAACAAACAGTTTACTCTTCATCAGTTGTTTAAAACTAAGGATTCAGTATTTTTTTTTAATAAGGTGAAGAAAGCAACCTTATACCACACTTTTGCTAGTCTGGTGTTAGCTGAAACGGTTTTTTAAATAAGGTAAAAAAAGCAACCTTATACCAATATCACTTTTGCTACTCCCGTGTCAGCTGAAACTGCTTTTATGCAGATTGTTCATATGAACTGGGTAAAGGTTAATTGTTGTAAGAAGGATAATCCACACAGTGCCACGTGGAAGGTGTAAATCATGTTTGTAGTCAATGAAAAATCAATGCAAGCTTCTTGTGCACAAAAAAGTTAGGGGTACATAAAAATATGGTGTAATCGCACCATCATCAAGGTGGAGAAACTCAAGACATCAACCTGCAATGTAAGTATTATCTGATGTTCCTTCTCAGTGTGTTATGTCCATGCTAGAAGGTCTTGGGTGGAAAGCTGATTTTCAATCTTCATCTTCAGGAAACTGAATAAGCATTTGTACTACTCTGAAGCTAGTAATAAATTATTCTGTAAATATTTTTTCAGTAAACTCCATTAAAATACTGCCCGTGGTGACACATGAATCCACAATCTTTTACTTGTGAAGCCAACGCTTTATCCATTAGGCAAAGAAGCAACCTTAAATAGATGTAGATTTTTACTAAAATTCAAAAGCTAGGAGTTCGAAACCTATCTTTATTTTCTTACAACAATCTATTCATTTTGATTATTGTGTAAAAGTTATCAACCATATCTCATTTATGGTTAATTATTAAGGTTTATTACTCTTTAATGAACTTGAGGAGAACTTTCTTTAATTTATTAAGATACTGTATTCATTTATTCATCTTTAATTATCATCTGAAATTTTTATTGGGATTAGCGCATCTGACCTTTATATTTTCTTTGAGAAGAATTGTTTAAACTGTACATTTAAAACGAGATATCTGAAACTGATGTGGCAAAAAGTTGAACTTGCATCAACTCTGGTTGTCCAGAAAATAGGCCGCTGAAGATGTTTCTGATTCGTTACCATCTTCCACCCGAACATGTGATTTGCTTTGTTTCTTTATCCGTTGTAATGATCGATAGTGGCCTTTCGTTGTAAAGTAATATCTTTAGACAATAGATGCATGAAAGAAACGCACAAGACACTGGATAAATCGAAACAAACCAGCAAAAGTTAGGGGAATCCAGGAAACACATTTGCATTTGTTAGTAACTGTGGCTGAAATGCAAAAGTACTCTCAGATAATAAACAAAGAAATGCGAGTGCAAGGCTAATAAAAGATGTCGCCAAGTGCAGTACAAAATCCAAGATCCAGAACTTCACCGATTCTGGATTTTAGATCGTCAGTTTAAATCTAGTGAGATGACCGATTTTTTAAAAATTTTATTGTTTTGTTCAAAATGAAAATAATAATATGCGGAAGAATTTTCAAGTCTCATTAGCGAAGCTAAATTGAAAGAAAGTATAAATTTGAGAACTGAGAATTATTTATTTTCTTTTAAATGATGGCAATTTTAAAATTGCAATTAATATCCATAATATGGAAATTTTTTTAATTAAACCGAAATGCTGTCTCATTTGTGAAAGATACCAAACATTATTATAAACGCTTATACTTACCCATTTAACACATGCAAAGCGGCAA